TGTTGACAGAGAGGCAAAAAGAAACATTAGGCAGAAAAGCCAAGTGCAGATGTCACTTGTTTCTCACCTGTGCCTCCAAGTGACTCTACCTCAAGCTATCCATACTGGGTAATTTTCTTCTTGGAGGGGAAACAGTTCTGTTTGCTTTCCTCTCAGGCCTTTCAACTGAAGATGACCAATGCTGCCTCTTTGATGACTCCTATGTCTCTTGAGTTTGCTGTGGTTTGTTTTTCATCTAGGTCAGGTTTCTCATCATTTTTTTGTAATCTTCAAAGAGCCTCCCAGTCTACTAGAAAGAAAGGAATAAAAATGTTCAGTCATTCACTAAACCAATTAGATAAGAGAATAATGATCTTCTCTTCAGACCCTAAAATATGAATAAACAGTGCAGTTTGTGGTTCCATGAATGGCAAAGGGATGGAAGAAAATACCTAGAGAGACTTAAGAATTAATTTGCCTCCTATAAACTGTCCATCAATAGGCAAAAGTAACAGCACACAGCACTGAGTTTTGATTCGTGCCCAGTACTAAGAGCTTTACATGTTTGTGAGTTCTCCTGAGCAATGTTCAGCTTGCACTGTGATCAAAATGCAGCTAGTTTTTGTTTTTAATCATGCTATGGAACTTTATTCACTGGGAGTAATTGACTGCTCCTTTTGAATGATGACTTGGCAGATTTTTCCGTTCTTGGATCACTCAGATAATAAAGCCCCTGGTCACTTTTTGTAATAAAAATAGTCTTATTTATAAATTAGTATTTTCATCTTGCTCCAGGTCAACCTGCAAGGAGAAGTAGGTCTCAACTTTCTACCTTTTACTCTTCACTACCCTCCAGTTGCTACTTGCGCCTCTCCAGAGAGAAGATAGGAGAGAAGAAGGGTTGTGGAGCAGAGTGGTTTTGACCTGCCTGGTGTGTCCTGGCTGGAGTGTTTGTCCTCTCTGGGTCTAGCAGATTATCAGAGCAGATGCTACCTCCAATGGACACTTGGGGACAGTTCTCAAGAACCACTGCTAGGACCCTGCTTCCCTTCTGGTCCCTTCCCCTATATTATCCCTCTACCCTGGGACTTTTTGCTTACTTCCTCTTGGGCCATATCCCTGGGTGCATTTCCATTTGGCTCTTTCTCTGGAGTTCCCTAGCCCAAGACCCTAAGAAGATCTTGTCATAGTTCTTGGTCCTACGTATGGGTGCAGGAGAATGACCACAAGACTCATTGCTGACAATAGGTACCCAGACCTTCCCCAGTCATGATGATACCCAGTACTACCCAAGAAGCTTACAGATCCTCCTTTCTCTGGACATCTGCAGGTTTGAGTCTTCTGTGTCTTCCAATTGCAGGGAGCAAATTTCAAAGTCCTGGAGTAGACCTTAAAAATCCCCTCATTAGACCTGACCTTGAAAGGTAGCAATGTGTATATATAGGAGGAAGAAAAAAAAAAAAACTCACAATAATTGACCAGTTGTCTCCAAAGAAATCTCTTTGCCATTTTCATACCACTGTCCTCTCCCTTCCCTGGCTGTTTTATATCCTTGATTTAAAAGATCCTAAGCTTTTTTTGTAAATCCGCATATATATATATATATATATACACACACACACACATAATATTAGCATATCGTATCACACAGATTGAAACAGAGAGATCCTATTCTAATATCTTGTTCTAATTTCCTAGAACACAGGCTTTAACTCATTTGCCCTTCAGAACAATCCTATAAAATAAGGATTATTCCCAGTGTACAGAGGAGTAAACTGAGATAATGGCATTTGTAAAGCACTGAGGTGTACTCAATCAGGAAAAGATGGAGCCAGGATTTAGATTTAGGTAGTCTAATTGGAAAGTTGGTGCTCTCAAACAACATGTGTATATACACTATATACACATTTGGCCAAAGGAATATTAATTAGAAAATTAGTATGTCTTGGAATTGAGTTAGATTTTTATTGAAGCTTACAAAAATAGTAAGACCTTCTGTAACCAAAATTAAGAATGGAATCTTTTGAAAAAAATAATCAATCTAATTGCATATAAATAGGCTGCAATATCTCTCACCTAAGAAAGCAAAAATCCCATCAGTTCAAAATCTTTGCCAGCTACTACTCAGTTTTCTGTTCATCTATTTAGTAAAATGCTTAAAAATAATTTTCTATAATTTTATCCATTTCCTCATTCACTATTTTTTTTTTGAGAGGTTT